GGGAGGGAAGTTGTGACCGGGAGCGGGGTTGGGAGCGGGCGGGTCGTGGGGAGCTCATGAGGGTGCTGATTTCTGTTGTGCACAATGGACAGACTATGGCTGTGACGAGGAACAAGATATGTAAGGAAGGAATGCAGAAGTTGCCGCGAAGATTCCAGGTGCTCTACTACGTGTGTGTCTTCCTCTATTACTGGGTATTGTCCACACCGGTGGTGTCGCTCGTGATGGGCTGTTATCTATACATCTGCATTAACTGGCTGCATGTGCACTTTGACGAGGCATTCTCATCGCTGCGCATCGCGCACTTCAAATCATTCATACGCGGTCACATCACGCCGGACGGCCATCTCGAGATTTTCGTACTTGCAGTTGATAAGGTACACAACTGGAATCATTTCTCTCCCCTAAAATTCGTTTTCTTTCAATGCGGGAAAATAGACACACACCACATATACACACATCCCACGTAGCTAGGGTTGGAACGTTACGTCGGATGGCCATCTCAAGGTTTTTACACTAGCATTGGTCAAGATACCCAAGTGGAATCATGTTTTTTCCCTATACACTCCTTAAGAAAATAGCTGTCCCTGCGTTACGCCCTCGCCGGGCCCAGAAAAAATCGCTGTCACACGGAACCGCACAGGGGCGGGGGTGCTGTCCCACACGGCGCGAAGCGGCGGTCTCACACGAAGACTGAGGAACTCAGTGCACAAAACGTCACGGGGAAGGGGTGGGGCCAAAGTGCGCGTTGGGCCGTTGCACTTCCTTGGTCGTTTGTTGGAGGTGGAGGAGACTTTCGGCCGACTCGATGGGGATAGCGTGGCGCATGCGAATGGGCGGAGCGCAAGGAGTGTGGAAATGCAGCCAAGGTCGCGAGAGTGGGAGGGGAGGAGGAGGTCGTGCAAGGGGGAGGAGGCCGTGGGAGGTGGAGACGGCTGTGGGGAGGGGGTTGGAAGAGGTCGGGAGGAGGTTGTCAGAGCTGAAGGAGGAGGTGAGCAGGGGAGGAGGTCGATGAGAGGGGGAGGAAGAGATCGTGCGAGAGGGAGGGGAAATCAATGACGAGAGAGGAACGCGAAAGGGATGAGGAGGTTGCGCAACGGGGAGGAGGAGGTCGTGCAAGGGGGAGGAGGAGGTCGTGCAAGGGGAAGGAGGAGGTTGTATGCGAGAGGAAGGAAGAGGTCATGCAAGGAGGAGGAGGAGGTCGCATAGGTCCTGCAAGGGGGAGGAGAAGGGCGCTCAACGGGGGGGAGGAGGTCGTGAGCAGGGGAGGAAAAGGTCAATGAGAGGGGGAGGAAGAGATCGCGCGAGAGGGAGGGGAAATCAATGACAAAAGAGGAACGGGAAAGGGAGGAGTTCGTGCAAGGGGGAGGAGGTGGGAGGAGGTCGTACGCTAGAGGAAGGAAGAGGTCGTGCAGTGAGGAGGAGGAGGTCGCATAGGTCGTGCAAGGGGGAGGAGAAGGTTGGGCAACGGGGGGTAGGAGGTCACACGAGCGGGAGGAGGTCGTGAGAGTGGAAGGAGGAGATCGCATGAGGGGAAGGAGGATGCACGTGGGGAAGTAGGTTGTGGGAGGTGGAGGCAGCAGTGGGGAGGGGGTTGGAAAGAGGTCGGAGGAGGTTGCCAGAGGGGGAGTATGAGGTCGTGAGTAGGGAAGGAGGAGGTCGATGAGAGGGGGAGGAAGAGATCCTGCGAGAGGCAGCGGGAACCAACGACGAGAGAGGAATGGGAAAGGGAGGAGGAGCTCGTGCCAGGGGAAGGAGGAGGTCGTGCAAAGGGGAGGAGGACGTCATACTGGAGGTGAACGAAAAGATCGTGCCAGCGAGAGGAGGACGTCGTGTGAGGGGGAGGGAAGGTTGCACGTGGGGGAGAAGTTTGTGGGAGGTGGAGGCGGTGGTGGGGAGGAGGTTGGGGTGTGCGCCGCGGCTCCCCTAAAGATCTTTTAACACAGGAAAACACAAGCACACGTACACACATCCCATGTAGCGAGGGTTGGAACTGTACTAGCAGTCATGCCACTGGTGGTCCCTGGGTTAGCGGGTGTGTAGAGTGGGTTTTCTGGCTGTGATGGACTCTACCACCTTCACCTGAATAGTTCGCATGACTATCGTAGCTGAGTTTGGGGAACTTTCACTCTAGATAGACTGGCAATGACAGCGCATTCTTAAAAAAAAAAGACTCTGCCTTTCCATCAGGGTCTGGCATCCCTGAAGGTGACCAACAATATACCCACTCTATGCTTTCCTGCGTTGTGGCCCAGGGAACCCTGGCAGGATTGATTGCTTCCTTCGGGAAGGATTGACTGCCAGTACGCCCATACCACCGGGTTAGAGCCCTCCCAGCTTTTAAAAAGCCTCCCCTTAAGAAACATCCTTCAAAATGCGTGTTCAATTTGGGTGAAGAAGGTAGTTTTGCAGTCTTGCTGCCGTTATTGTGAGGGGTCTGAACTAGATAGTCTGCTATGTGGTTCGTGCAGTAAGTGGCAGTTGTGCCCTTGTCCCTGTCGTTTTTCCAACAGTTGCAGCTGACTGACTTGACATGGCTCTTCGTCGCATCAGACCACATTATTTGTAATTGATGTGAGGCATGGGAAGGGAAGATATTGTAGAAAGCGTGCAGCCAAAGCAGTGAAGAGGGGATTAGAGAGGGATGGTGATGCGCAAGGGAGAGACGGGTTTGGGCAGGGCACAGCAGGTCAGCTGCCTCCTCTCTCAAGCGTAGCTGTTGGTCCATGGTTTCCAGGATGTCAGATCTGTTGTGTCGTACGGTTCGAAGTCGGCACCTGTGGATTGATAATTGGTGGTCTAGAATTATCTTTGGATGCTCAACTTTGGTCAAATCGCTGGCTTGCTGCAGGTTCCAAGGGACTGGTCGATAGATCCAAAGTGGTTTGAAGAGCAAGAGTCCTCTCCAGGCGTGATGCCGCACAAGCTATCATACCCAAGTAAGTGGATTCCAGCTCCGGGGTACTGCAACGGGGATAGCCAGTGCAATGTACGAATCGTCGACCACTTTGTCGTCGACAAAAAGCCCTTGCCGTGTCCGAAACCCGCTAGTCCTCCACAGGCTGCAAAGGAAGTTCCTGCGGGAACTGTTTCTTCCTCCACGACAGCCCGCCGTGCTCCCAAGCGAACGCACCGACCATCGCCCCTGTCAGGAAAGCAGCACGAGGAGCATAGCCCGAACCGAACTGGGGAGGATGCGCTTGGGGTTAGCATCAGTGGGGGAAAGAAAGCGAGAACTTCACTCTCGGTTGCAGACAATTTGCACCCAGAAAGTGGTGGAGGGAGCTTCCATGCTGTATCCGTTGCCATCAGAGAACCTGTGAGGTTTCCAGAGTGGATATGGCGAGCAGTGCACCCAGACCCGATCGAAGGGTGGAAGTTTGTGGGGCAACCGCGATCCCCGTCACCACCACGCCGGCATGTCTCAAGAAAGGGGCCTCCAATAACGCGGCATTTGTCGCTGTCGCCATGCCGTCGGGGGGCCAGAGCCATGGGAGGTGATGTTGTAGAGCTTGTGCATGCGGCCCAAGGCCATGAGGAATCGCACATAGATGACAAAGGCCAACCGGCTGCCACTAATCGAGAACTCCGTGCTCACAGAGGGAGTTTTTATTCCTTGCCCAGTTCTCAGTCTCAAAGCATTTCCTCTGGATTTCTGGATCTGCCGCACCACTGGCAAGGCACAGAAGGGGTTTTGGTTCCTTGCTGCCAAGGTGGGGAACGATGCAGCCAGCTCTTGCAGGAAGTAAGCACCAACAGTTGCGCAAGCGGCAAGGAACGGGAACGATGCACCCGGCTCTCACAGGAAGTGAGCACCAACAGTTGCGCAGGTGGCATGGAACGGGGCAAGAAACGCACTCTAGGAACAGGGGAGGACGTAGGGTATGAGCCAAACACTGCACTTGAGGAGGTTGTCCGAGAGATGGGTCAAGAAGAGGGTGAGGGGAGGGTGAGATATTTTCAAGAGGCTAGGTTGTAGTTAGGAGGGATCTTTGGTGGTCGTCTGTCCTTCTGTGGAAGGAAGACAGTTTGTTCGAATCGGTTGGGACTCCAGAATCGTAGGCAGTCAGACGTGACACCACAGCCATTGTCAGCTTGTATGGTCGGAGCATGCACATCAAACTAACGTACCGAGGAACATCGTGTAGCTTGGATGGAGAGCAATGGTCTCAAGCACCCCGTGAGAACCCTTGCTATCACCCCACCCTCCGTGCCTCCGCCCCGTGCTTACATTTTCTAGGCTTTTTGCTGTGAATCTGTCCGGGGCCTGGTCATTGTAGTTGCTGTGTGCTTCTTCCCCGTCTGCCATGCGAGCACTTTGATCGCATGGCTTGCATCCAGAGACGCATGCGTCTGTTGATGTTCACATGCATGTCTGGATTGTTTATTTTGTCATGGTTCTTTCATGTCTGCACACAGTTGTGCATGACTTATCTTTGTTAAAGAATGCTAATAAAGATTCTTTTGATATTTTTGTCACATCGGCGAAATTTCATTGCCCTCCCATATGGAGAGCAGCAATGAAGGGCGTGAGAATGTGAGGGTGGGGAGCCTTGATTGTCTGTCAGGCTGAGAGCCCAGCTGCATCAAGCAGAAATTACAGGAGCCCCCCCGCCTACCACCTTCTCTTACCCCTATCGTCCATCTGTCCCAGGGACCCTAATTGTAGCGGTCGTGTCCTTGTTTGCCATCTCTGCCTCTGCGGAATGAGGTCTCATGCGAACGCTACAATCCCATGGTTTGCGTCCGGTTACACATGCATGCATCCTGTTAATGCTTCCATGCGCTTCCGGATCATTCATTTTGTGATTGGTGATCATTCATTTTGTGATCGGCGATCATCCATTTCATTTTGTGATTGCCCATTTCTGCTCATCATTGAGCGGGCTTGACTCTTCTTTGTTGATATTAATTTGATACCGATTGGTTGGTTTCAATTCTTCCGACTTTTCTTTTCTCGTGTTGTAAATGGAGATTCAATGATAACGGGAGTTAGAATCGATCGGGCCTCCTTCACTGTTGGCCTGAGGTCCAAATTATGTACAAATAGGGATACGAGATTGTTGGGTTCGGGGGCTCAGGAGAAGGAGGGGGGCGAAGGGGGAACGGGGGTGTAGGAGTCGAATTCACTACTTCCGGCAGTTGATGGCAATGTTGAGTGCCTACCTTTTTGTTCGTTTTGTTCTCTTTTTTACAGCCAATAAGTAAGTTTGCCTTTCATTCTACTTAAGGTGTTTGACATTCCGTCTTTGGTTGAGCCTGGTCCCGTGTTCGGTTGAGCCTGGTCCCATGTTCGGTTGAGCCTGGTCCCATCCTCTTTGTGAAATCAGTTGCACAGCTTGTTGTTGTAGCTTAATGTCCCATGGTTCCCATCAGATGATGTTTAATGTCCCATCATATGATGTTCATTGTCCCATCATATGATGTGTACTGTCCCATAACTTGTGTTCATCCATCCCCAGTGGGCCCATCCTCGGATGTTTAGCGTTTAGAACTTTAGATCATGGTGTGACAACATAGAGTGGATGACGTGGAGGGAGCACCACATGATGATGTGGGTAGGAGCTCGAACTGCTGATCAGAAGATGGCGAACGAGGAGTACAATTGTCATGGATGGGTGCGACAACATGCAGTGGATGATGTGGAGGTGCACCACATGATGATGTGGCTAGGAACTCGAACTCCAGATCAGAAGCTGACGATGGAGTAGAATTGTCGCTGAACTGTTTGGTCAATATATCTTCAGAGAGGGTGTGGAGTTTCTTCCGCATTAACTCTCAAGTTCTCAACTGGTGGATAATTCTCAAGGAGAGCAGCTATTGCGGAACTGCTTGTTATCAGCAAGGAGTGTAACGCGATATCCTAGCACACTTGTCAGAAGATCAGGCTCCTTTTGTGGAGAGAAATAGTTTGCTGCCGTTTCTGAAAGCAGTGTAAGCGTCAGACCGCAGAGCAAGGAAGAGGGTGGGGGTAGGAGGATCAGCAGACATGCTGTGTGGCTGGGAGGAGGGGAGTGAAGGGTTGGCAGCATCGGATCAGGATGACGCAATGGGACCAGGCTTGCCCCATTGCCGAAAGGAAGGGTGGCCAGTGGTCATGGACTGAAGAGGGGACCGAGCTGGACGGTAAGGACAGTGGTAGGAAAGGGAAGGCCCCATTGGCACCTACTTTGGTACCAAATAGTACCAGTTAGCTTGTCACAGTGATGGCGGTTCTGTCCGGTCGCAGAGGTTGTCCTTTTCCCTGTATTATTCATCTTGTCAGTGAGTAGAGCAGAATCTCCCACTGCCCTGTAATTGTGCTTGAGGTGAAGAATGGTCCAGTGTGTGGTCCACTGAAGCCCATGGTATTTGCAACTATGCTCGAGGAGCAGAATAATCCAGCCACCAGTGTATGGTCCAGTGTATGGTCCGGAGTATGGTCCAGTGTAGTATAGCATTACCCATGGTAACTGTGACTATGGTCCAGTGTAGTATAGCATTACCCATGGTAAC